AGGGTGGCTAGCTCACTGACTTTTAACAGAGTTGTAATCACATTTAAGCTTAAAAACAACTTTGAAATCAGTGTGAAAGTACAAGAAAAAGGGAGAGAAAAGATGGTTGAAGAGTTCAAAGATCACCTCTTGAAAGAGATGATGTTCTTCTTCTTAGTTCACAAACCACAAGCTAAGCTCTCTCAAGGACCTGAAATTGTATTAAAAATCTCAACAAAAGCTTCAAGTTCAAGCTTGTATGGTGTATCTTTGGTGTATGTATATTGCAAGAGAGTAGGGAAGTGTGTTGGACAAGTTATAGACTCTTGGAGGATTTTTTCTAACCCCAAACCATGAGGGGGTGTTGTATATATAGAAAAACAACTTCTCACATCAGAAATATCTGCAAAAGAGACAACTAGTCCAAAGCATGGGCATGGGAGTAGCTGTCTGCTACAAAATATCTACTTCACTGAACATGGCCGACAGGCTAATGAATTATACAGCCGGCCCAAAAAAGTGACCTGCCAGTCCAATTTTGGTCTTCTTGCTACTAGAGGCCAGCTGGTCCCAAATATCCATGGCCGGATCCTAATTTTGAAAAAGTGGATTTTTAAAGGTCTAAAACAATTTGGTCAAAATGGGGTGTACGGTTTAAGTTTGAAGCTCAAAGTTGAATTCTTTTACTAAAGATTCGAACGATTGCACAACATAGCATTTCATCATTGAGTGTTCAGCATAAAGCAGCCAAGTCTTAAGGGCGGTCAAGATGGGGTTTCTGTAGTTGCTCCTCTTTGATAGAGCTCGAAGTCATGAAATGACATTAGTGAATGTCAAAGTCCAAAGACAACCCGTTTGACAAGGCCGTAAGACTTGGCAAACAAACAAATTACAGATGTAGTTGGTTGAACTCGAAAGTTGCCTACGTATCCCTTTTCAAGGAATCAAGCCAACGTAGTTCAGGGACAGGATGTAAATGATACACAATGCAATGCACCAATCAAAACCACAAGCAGTGCTTTACCACACAAATATCATAAAGGAATGAGAATGCTAATCAAGCTATATTTTATATAGAAAAGAAATGGGCACGAGCCAAACGAAGCCTAACACAGGCTAAGTGCCTCAGCATGGGTGCTTACACATAATAGAACCATGTTTTAATGTGAAAGGGGTGTGAGCACATGTAGAACTATGTCTTTCACAGAAAGAGTACAAGTAATTGGATGGTATGATATAGGTGAGGAATGATCTGCTAGGTAATGATCTACCGGGAAATAACAATGCAATGGGATGATAATGATCCTAAACGCGTTTAAGCGAAAAGGATGAATGCAACAAGACAAAGTACGATGTAATGGATGCAATGGATAAAATGGATAGGGTAACATACTCTAACAATGCCGGAATCGTGAGAGGAGGAGGAACAAGTGAGGAATGACACACTCTAACCATGCTGAAATCGTGAGAAGAGGAAGAGACTCCAACCATGCTGGAATCGTGAGAGGTGAAAGAACACTCTAACCACGCTGAAATCGTTAGAAGAGGTTCTGAACCACTCAAGGTCATGTTCCTGCATGCCCAGAGATAAAAATTGCTCGGGAACACGTCTGACATGTCCTGAGAAAACCGCTTAGGGTCGCGTTCCTACACGCCCTGAGATACACTAACCACGCTGAAATTGTGAGATGAGGTCTTGAAAAAACTGCTCAAGGTCGTATTCGTGCATGCCCTGAGATACTCTAACCACGCCGAAATCATGAAAAGAGGGAATGAAAATATCGCTCAGGGTCGTGTTCCTATATGCCCTAAGATACTCTAACCATACTAAAATCGTGAGAAGAGGAAATGAAAAAAACCACTCAGGGTTGTGTTCTTGTACGCCCTAAGATACTCGAACCACGCTGAAATCGTGAGAAGAGATCTTGAGAAACATCTCAGGAACGCATCTCACGTGTCCTGAGAAAACTGCTCGAGAACATGCTCCTACATGTTCTGAGAAAAGCCTGGGGGACAATGATCCTAAAACATGTTTCAACGAAAAAGGATAAATGATATAAGATAATGCATGATGCAAATAGATGTAATAAGTGTGATATATGATATGGTTTGTGTGACAAGCAATGTAGTGGATGATGCTTAGGAAATGTAGTAAACAAAAGAAGTGGCACTTTAGAAAGCACCTCATGGGACGAGTGGCGATGAACCCATTACTACAAAAAAAGATAAAGATCACACTTTTTTTGTGTGATCTATATTATTTAATCACACTTTTTAAGTTTTGTCAAAGTGTGATCTTTGGAAGTGTGATTAAAAATTGTCATTTTTAATCACACGTTTTAAGTGTGATTACTAACATTTAGATCACATCTCTTAAGTGTGATTAAAAACTAATAAAACCTGTGATAATAAACATTTAGATCACATCTTTAAGTGTGATTAATAACATTTAGGTCACAGATTTTAAGTGTGATTAATAACTAATAAAACCTGTGATAATAAATATTTAGATCACATCTTTTAAGTGATTAATAACATTTAGATCACATGTTTTAAGTGTAATTAATTACTTATAGCGATCCCGGTTGCCCCTTTACTGTTCTGTTGTATTCCGGACTTAGTTCCGTAGAGTTGGTAGTTGTATCTATCTTGTTGTCATCCTTTAATTCCATTTGTTCAGGTTTTAGGATGTATTGGGCAGAGTTGTTACAGGTTGGTTAGGCTTTGGTTTCAATTCTTTGTTGCCCAGTTTTTAGGAGGTCCGCTCGAGCGGGTCTTATTGCGCTCGAGCGGAGATTGCACGCTCCCTGTATTTTGGTGCTCTGCAGAACTTCTACAAGCATGTTTTTCACGCCCGAGCGGATTTCTTTACGCTCGAGCGGTGGCGCCCGAGCGGGTATTCTAGCGCTCGAGCGGGTAGTACTTTTTGGTGTAAGTTCTGGGAGAGGGAAATCTACGCTCGAGCGGACTGGTTTTCGTGCTCGAGCGGATGTACTTTATTCTTGTGTCTTGGCACTCGAGCGGGCATTCTTGCGCTCGAGCATACCTAGTTTTTTGTTCTTGACGCTCGAGCGTTGTGTTCTCCGCTCGAGCGGGAATGTCGTATATCAGTTGGCAGCTGGGCATTTTAAAATCACTTTTTGCATTCTCTCTCTTTCTCTTACTTTCTAAAAAGACTTTTTGAGAGTTCCTCTCTCTAGAAACTCCCTTCTCTCTAGGGTTTGATCTAGTTAGAGTGTTTCCCTTCCCTTCAGCCTTTGTAAGAGTTGGGTTGATCGTCGAGGGCTACGTTTTGATCCGAGTATATTGAGTTTTGGAGCACGTTGAGTTTCTTCGTCTTCTTTCCTTGAGCTCCGAATTTGAGGTAGGGATTCCTACTCACTCTTATGGTCTTTGACCTAGATTTTTGGTTGTTTTGATAAAGTGTTGAAGTTGGGTTAATTTTGGGACTGAGGGTTTCAAAATGTTAAAAGAGGATTTGTTATTTTGAGTCTAAAATATGTATTGTGGGTTCAAAATAATGATATCGTTGTTGGTTGTTGATATTTAGACCATTGGGTCAATATTTGGAAATCGTGTGGAAAACCCTAATTTTGGGAAAGTTGTGACTTTATGGAATTGAGTTGGAAATAATGAAATTGGTTCGTTATATGGTTGAATAGTGGAGTTAGATTTATTAATCGCTCACTTTTGAAAACATTGATATTTTATCTGTTGGAGCTTTTATTATCTGTTTAGAAATAATTGCTTGGGCTACCGGTGGAGAGTAGTTTTGATTGTTATAGACAATACATGATGATTAGGCAAACTAAAACTAATCAATTGAATATGTCATAGAGTATGACGGTTGATAGAATACATTAACATTATGTATTGATTGATTATGTATATACGTTGTGTGTGTGGGAGGAGATAGGGGATGTACTCCACGGTTTAGGGGAAGATAGGGGATGGACCACTAAACCGGATGTTGTTTGGGAAGAGATAGGGGATGGACTCCACTGATATAGCTCATATGCTTGTCAGATAATGTGTTGATATAGCTCATATGCTTATCTTTGGAAGTGTTGATACAGCTCATATGCTTATCTTTGGAAGTATGGATATAGCTAATATGCATATCTGTTGAAATGTGGATACAGCTTGTATGCTTATCTGTTGAGATGTTGATACAACTAGTATGTTTATCTACTGTAAAAATGGGAAATGTTTAATATGAGTCACTGTCTCATATAAATGGTTGGCCAGGTTCTGAGCCGTTGATGTAAATTGTGAAATTGATAAGAAATGGAAACTGAAATGAAACATGAACATAGTGGTCATGAAATGGAAATGGGTTACGAATTGGTTTATGGAAATTGAACATTTATCAATTGCTAATGTCTTAGTCTTTGCTCATACTGTGTTTAGCATATCTCTACTGGGCGTTAGCTCACCCTTTATGGGACATTATTTTCAGGTACAGGTAGTATGCCACCTCCAAGGACATAGCTTGGATGATGATGAGAGTTGAAGACTCCTTTTGTTTATTTTGTCTGTATTACATATATATCAAGCCAAGGGCTTATTTTGTATAGAGTTAGTACTCTTCTTTTGTGTAACCAAGTGTTGACTTGGAAAGCTATAAGCCCATGGGGCATTTGCTTTTGTTGTTAACATGTAATACAGTGTAAGAATTACTCTGATGAATAGAAATGGTTAGTTTCTTTTATATCAATGCATGTTTAAAATGATGGGTTTTATGTATTATTTTGAGGGCGTTACATTACTAAATAAACCTGTGATAATAAACATTTAGATCACAGATTTTAAGTGTGATTAATATCTAACAAAACCCGTGATTAATAATGAGATAAGATCACATGTTATGTGCATTTCTCATCACAGTTAATGCGTGTGATAAAAAAAGGGTTCGACATATTTGAAGAATAATCAAATATTATTTTTGTACCCACATTTCAAGAATGTAATACACACTATATATTATACTTTGAATCACAACCACATATTGAATGGAATAATGTCATATGTTTCATAAATGAAAGTTAAATATGTTCAAAAGTATATACAAAGGAATTAAACAAAAAGTTTTAAACTGTGCTTACATATATTTTTTAAAAAAAAAAAAAAAACTTGAAAAACTAAGTTTTTGAATTCTTTGATCATAGAGATTGTTCTAGTCTTACAAAAGATAAAGTTCGACTGATCACAACCCTTCAAATGTCTTAACATTAAATACCTCTAGCATGACATGAAGCATGTAAAACAAAATGTCACTTTACCCACAGAAATTGCAAGTTCAACAAAAATTTTACTATAACCAACAACTTAGTTTAAGAGGCTCTATCCATCTCAAATATTTAATGTTCTACAAAAGAAATGCAATTGAATGTTGATTATGCAAATACCTTGAGTGCATTTCAGATATCTATGACCATTCTTCACCATCTTCTCCATTTGAGCTCCTAGAAAATTCTGAACGCTTGGGAGGTTGGCCAGAGTTGCCTTAGAAAGAAGAAAAACAACTCAACTACTTGGGCATACACAAATTAGTAATTGCACATTTGTAAAAAAATGTTCTAGATTCCATCATATACAAAGTCACATAGAGATATAATCCCAAAGTATAAATTGGGGGGTGTTCAAAATTCTCATATTGACAATCTTATATATCAGAGAGCACTGCCTAACAGTTTATTCCTGATAAATAGAGTCTTCAAGAAAAATTTAAAGGATATACTTTCATAACTTTTCTGCTTTTTTTTGCTCAAAGCAGAAGGAGAGGACACAAACACCATTATATTACTTGATACAAAGAATTTCAAAGAAAGTAATGCCTAACACTCAGGTTTCAGAATGGCCTACAAAAAATTACATGCCATACCATCTGTGGCTTGAGCAATGCATGGATTCTTCTCAAGTAATGCCTGTCAAAATAAGCATAACAAGTAAACAAAGGAACGAAGATTGACAAGTACATCAAATTTTAATAACGTTTTGAAAGCATCAACTACTCATCACATTGTTAGAATCCTACACAACATAAAAGGAAAAGAAAAAAGGCAAGTAAATGGGTAAGATAATCTCTTACCTCCTGTAATTCCAGTAGATAATCCAAAGTCTTCTTAGATGAGGTGATCAGATCTAAATATGCTTCATTCACCTTACTGTCTAAATCGTAGAATGAAGACTTGAGTGGCTCCTGCACAATTCGCCATGTTTCAATTATAAGGTTCCAATAGAACATAAATTACCATAAACAAGCAAGATTTATCAATCAAAGAGACCTTTTGAAGTCTATTAGAACTTGAGAATGCTTTTTTGCAGAAAGAATCTCAACTCAAGAGTCTTTGACTTGTTAGAATCCAATCAAAGAAGAGTACATGTAACACAACACAAAAATACGATTAAAAACCCAAGGAAATCTTATCAATTTGGAAAATAATCTTGTCAACATGTAGGGAACCAAAGTGCATATGTTGATAATAATAAAAATCAGGCTATTCTATACATACCTTTGTAGGAAAATTTCTAGAATTTGATTGACCTGCAACACACAAGCAAAAAATATCAACCACAACACAAAATGTGGAGCTACTAATGCATCAAAATCCAAATAATCGATACCTTATGTTTTCTATTTTGCTGGCTCATAACTTCATCTGCTTGATAAAAAGAAGTTCTACTGCTTCGATATGGAAACTACAAGAGCTCGCTCAATATGTTGCTCTTCCCATTAACAGTCCAGTGCTAATGCCTATTTCAATTGAACGTTGCTACTTCTTGAAGAGGCCTTGTTGAAGCCATCAAATTTCTTTCCAGATCCTTGTTTGATCATTTAAGGCTTTCCATAACCTTATTTGCATCGATGGTGAAAATGGAAGCAAACTCTTTCAACAGTTTAAATCTCGCAACACTACGATAACAAGTTCTAAACAAAAATAGTTGAAATAGAGCACCAGACAGAATGACAGACATTTTATTTCTATATATTTTACACACAACAAGCTTAAGTATTTACACACAAGTTTTAAAAAAAAAAAATTTAAAAAAAAACCATAAACAAACAAAACCAAAAACCATAGGCTCACAATTATATCAAAAAAATTCAAATCGCATAAGAAGCTTTACAGATTTATACTTCTCTCCCTTGTGACTATGGAGTGGAACTGCTTGAATTCTATGGCTCACAATTCCATTCTGTGGATCATTAGCTTCTCTCTTAATTTAGAAACTGAACAAAATATTTTAAGAAGAAACTATATCCACTTTTTCCCTGAAACTATGGCAAATAACAGAAATGGAAAATTGAGCATTTTTTAATGCCATGGTTCCTTCTACACCTTTTTTGTCTAAAATAGGACTAGCAAACATTATTATAGTTATGACTTTTAATAAGAGAAATAGCAGGTCTCTATTGTAATCAAAATGAATATTATCCAAGACATTGACAACAATTACAATATTGATGACTCTATCAATTTACCCTTGTATAGAAATCTGGTGGGGAATATGTATCAAAGTGTGTGTGACAGAAATCAAAATACCATCCTTCACCCATATAAACAGTCACCTGTTTAGAAGCAACAAAATTCAAATCAACTAAAAAGAATAGATGAAGTAAAGTAAATACACAGAAATATATAAAGAATTATGAGGGGTAAAGAAATGGAAAGAGAATAACTTTTTAGCAGAAGTGCAAGGAAATCGAATATGGTTAAAAGTCAGGGTAATAGCTGACTCACCTTCAAAGTTGTTTTGAATGGTAATGTAGCTTTAGGATCGAAGACCTCATTATTTGGACCGACCTTTAACAAAAAATCGAGCTTTTTAACATATCCATAACCACCATTGGCCCTAAACATCCCATGCATCAGCCACCATGATCGTCAATAGCCCTATCAAAAAAAAAAAACAAACAAACAAAAAAAGACATTCTTGGTATTTATTTATTATTATTATTTTTTTGTCTATTTAAACTTCCAATAAATAAATCTCCAAAGCTCAAATCAATCATCCAGTCAGAGCACAGTTCATATATAGATTGGTGAGTTCAATTGCAAACAACTTATGGTGCAAATAATGTTGCGATTAGTCATTCCTTCAAACCATGCTATAGAAGGCTAAAAATTTGATGACTACACTATTATGGGAGATTCTTTTGGTGAATGTGTTTAAGTGTTAAACCATCCACAAGCACATTTCAAAATCATTGAACAATCTTTCTTATTACTAGCACAAGCTAATACTCTGTTGCAACTCAATCTAGTGTTAGATCTATTATTTCCAAAGCAAGCAATGCCGAAGCTGATCTCTTTGTTGAGCCTAGTGACAAAATATGTTTTGGAGATCTTTTCTTGGAGGTACTATGTTATTAGGTAGAGTAGTTCTGTATACTTACGGTGAAATGTCAACCTAATGTTGTTGAATTCAATCCTCAGGGGATATAATTACATTTTTTATTTGAACTGAATGATATGTGGTGTGTATTCTTGGAATTATTAATTATAACATCAAAAAGGAAGTAGTTCTGTACTCTAAAGTAATACAGTGAGTTGCAAGGGGTTGAACTTGTTAAAGGTATTGTTTTCACATAGAAGAATAATTCTTTAGGCTTTAGCATTGAGAACATGATGTACTATAAGAAAAAAATGTACATGAAATTCTATTATAAATTGTAGACATTGTGGAATCAAAAAAAAATTGTAGACATTGAGTACATGTATTATTTACAATCCAATATGGTTTATGTATGTGAATAGTAGAGCAAGAGATATTAATAATTACAGAAGAAATTAGATAATTAAAAGTAATGGTTCACTTTGGAGGCAAGAACACTAACATTGCAAATAAGAATATTATTGTGAGCAACATCACGGATATAAGAAAAAACACATCATTCCTAAAGAAAAGGCTTTCCTTTTTTAATCCTGATGCTTGTTGGTTGATCATGATAAGATTCAACAATGTATAAGTAGGGCCATATGGTGGTGGGTTCTACAGTTTTACCCTTGAAGTTGAAGCTATTCACATGCTTTGTTGCATTTTGTTGTATTTTCTTACAACTCACCAGTCTAGTTATTTTTGTATGTCACAGTCCCTACTTTACCTTAGCAACTTGCCTATGAGAGCATGGTTGCTAAAGCAAGTGCCAGAGCAACTAGCAAAGTGGGACTGATATGTAAGGTTTAAAAAATTGGAGGGGCAAAATTAGGATGCGAGAAGCAACTAGGAAAATCAACCCCTCTGCTAAGTTGATAAAAGAGGGGTATATATAACCGATGATGGGTAAAAGAGCAAACCATTAAAACCAGCTCGGTACACCGTACTTGACAAAAAACACTCTTGTTGGAAATTTGACAAACACATTATCTACAAAAGTTTGTAGATAATGGTTAACAACAGTTCAATCCTAATCGCTACATTCATTGAGAGACTTCCATTCTCAAAGAAATTTACCTCAAAGCTAATCAAAATTATTGTTAAAAGCATTCAATCCAAACAAACCCATCAATAAAAAATGCCCACAAATATTAATGTAAAATCATAAAAAAAAAAACACAATTGATTAAATAAAACAAAAAAATCAGGCACACATGCAAAATGGGTCTAATAAGAGAAGAAAAAAAAATTGATAAGAAGTAAAAGTTTTCAAATTGAAACATAGAGGAAAGAGGAATACCTGGCAAGAACAATGGTGGCTAACAGTGGTGTGGTAGCAGGCCAGTGATTACCCTATTTTCAAAATCACAAAGTAGGGTCTAGGCTTTCGATTTGAATAAGTATATATGGGCAGTTAAGTAGAGGTCTCTGTTCTATATACATAAATATAGGGAAAAATATATATAGTTGCACATAGATGTGTTTAGCAGAATCAACAGAGAGAGAGAGAGAGAGAGAGAGAGAGAGAGAGGGAGGGAGGAAGGTAGAAACGCTTTTTTGCTCCAATGGTTGCTGGTGTTCATGTGCAAAGTGGTAATGCTAGAGTTAAAGGATCCAACCGTGGCGACACAAGGCCGACAAGAAGAGTTGAGCTGATATTGTCAGCACTGAAGATGGACGGTCTAAAAATGGTGGAGGCAATGGAGAGTTGAAAGAAATAAATTGAATCACATAACCCATTATCTGAGGGGAAACTCAGAAATCAATTGAATCACACAACCCATTATTAGAAGTAGTGTGGGTAGAAATCAGATCAGAGAATGAGAAAAGTAAAATATATAATCACACTTATTTAAAATGGTTGATTAAAAAAAATATTATCTCACTTATTAAATTAAGGGGTTGTTTGGGATGACCTAAATAAGTACACTTTTTGTCTTTTTATGAAAAGATGTGCAGAAAAGTAGAGAGGTGATGTGATGAAAAAAAGATAAAAAGATAAAAAGATGGATTATTTTGGTGTTGCCAAACTTGGCCTAAGTATGATTAAAAAAATATTTTAATTTTTTTAATTATACTTTTAATAAAAGTGAAGTATTTTTAATTCTTCTTATGTGATCTTTAATCACATGTTAATTAGAAAGTGATTAAAAAATATATATATATAATCACACCTAATTGAAAAGTGACATAAAAAATAAATATTATCACACTTAATCAAATCAAGTGTGATTAAAATATCAATCTAATTTTTTTCTCACACTTTCAACAAATGTGAGATATTTTTATTTGTCAAAGTGTGATCCTTAACCATTTTTATAGTAGTGACCGCTCTATTCTGACAGGGATCTCCCCTTTGTGTTCTTCAAACTTCTACCTTCAACACACAGTTCAAAGGTCCTCAAATGCTGACAAGGGGTAAAATCTTCATGTGGAAGCCACAGATGTCACTTTTCTCCCTAATCTTATGCATAGCTCTCCCTATTCTCCAACGGGTTGACAGACTAGGTTGATTCGGTGTACAGAATTGAGGCGCATACATGCTACCTTAACCTATGGGGCTGCCATACAGATTTCAAGCCGAAGATACACCCCTGGGTATTTAAACCAGACTTTAGTCTCGGAAATTCCAGACCTTTGTATTCTAGGCATCGCCATTCAAATTCTAGTTTCCACCGTCACAATTGGTCTCCTAGGAACTCATTACAAACACAGCCAAGACGCCTCTGGTAGGGAATTGTGTTCAAGAAGAGCAGTTTGACCGCCATTCTAACTAAGCAAGGTTGGCCTTGAGGTCAAGGTACACACATACTCTGGACAAATGGCGAGGCCTGAGAAGGTGCATCCAAAATACAATCTCGAAATTTTCGAGAGTTAAAACAAACTCAGATGCTTCACTTTTCCCTTTCTCTTTTGCTTTGTAGTTTGGAACCTATGTAGCTTCAGATAGGTCCTTGTTTTGTTGCTCCCTCTTTTGATCGGGGTTAGATCTTGTAGTTTACAAAAGAATGAATTTTTTTTTGCACATCATGTTGAGAATGGCAGGACGCACAAAAATGATTTATTTTTTAAATTGAAATTGAGAATGAGTTCCTAACCGGGTATTAAACCTGCGACTGACCAAGATACAACTCAACAAAGGGAAAACAAAGTAAAAACGGCCTAACCGAAAATGAAACAACTCAAAACAAGAATCGAAACAAACAAAAACAACAAACACAACACTCGAATGTTTGCTTTCATCGACGGGAGACCTCTCGATTCACGAGGAGCCCACTGCATCTCCAGGTATTGTTTTCCACCCTTTCTCATTTATGGTTCTCATATCACTTTGGCACTCAATCTCTTTTTCTCTAAAAATCCCTTTCCTTACTTTTTCTCTCAACGCATATCTCTCTATTCTTTAATCTTTCTTATTTTTTATCTGTTCCAGGGTGTGGTTGATGGATAAGCTAGAAGTTGTGGAATCTATGATGGGGTCAAATATCCAGCTCTATTTCTAGTTCATGCTTCACACTTGGCTCAATACCTCACTGCTTGGAGGAGGAGAGAGTTTTTGGCCCCTGTGGCTAGCTTCAATTGTGCCTTTTCTGGCGAGTGTGCTGACAATGGGGAAAAGATAGAAAACCTGACTCAACTGTGCCCCTAGTTTATCATTTTGACCATATTTTTTTCCTTTTGTTTTGGCTAAAACAATTTTGACCAACATGAGAGTTTAGATTAACATGCTTGTTCTACTTTCTATTTTGAAATCATGTAAGTCAGGCTGTGAGCACTAAAAATTTTCCTTTTGTGGGTCTAAGAAATGATCCGATTTTAGAAAAATAGAATAGTTTCCAAGAAGTTTAGTCAACTTCACTAAAAATCCTCAAAAATTGTTTTTCCAACCGCTAATCTGAACTTGATATGTCTTGTAGCCAAATCTTTTAACGGAATAGAACAACCAAATTTGAATGAAGATAAGCCAATCGGACAGGGATAGGATAGCCGAGTTTGCATAAGGATAAGCCAATCAACATGGATAAGAGAAGCAGGTTGAAAATTGTTGGGGCTAAACTTTAGGATGAAGTTATCTACGTATCCCAAATATGGGAATCAGGCCTTACATAGTTCCCGGGTAAGGTGTACTCGAGTATTAATGCTCTCCTTTTGCACTCTAACTTTTGCCAAAGTCGCCCTTCCAGGTTTTCAACCTTGTGAGCTCTATTTTTTTTTCTTCTTTTAATTTTCTTTCTTTTTTTTATCTAACTTTTTCTTGGGTCGCTCTTCCAAGCTTCCGGGTTTTTGGCCCAGTGAGCCTCTCAAGGGTAGAGGATTTTAACTTGTCCATGTTGATTGGTTGTGAGATCTCTAATGTCACACCCTAAATCCAAGCATGACTGGCCATGGCCCATAGGGACTTAGCCCAAGGCACGTGTAAGCCTAAACATGAACCTAAAATCACAAAGAAAAAATATGATAATAGCCCAGAAATAAATAAATCAAAACTCAATCCAGGGACAAGTTACAAGTATAAATGGTAAAACCAGCCGTAACCAACTTCCAAAAATATATACTAAATCGAACACAAACCGCACACAAAATAAAACAATCCTAAATAAAACTCAACCACAATGTATGCACAAAATCTACATAACAAGCTAAAACAAAATAATGAATGTCCTAGAGGTCCATGCAATTGAGTCCCCACCACGCCATGAGTTCACTTTAAGTCTTTCTAACACATGGAAGCGATAAACAACTAAGTCAGCTGATAGCTCAGTGAATAGCAACAGGAATAGTACATACAATTTTGAAAACAGTGTTCAATTCCAAAATAAGATATATATCACAGAAACTAGATTGGCATATAGTTTTGATAAAGATAATCTGCTTCAAAAACAAGGTCCACAGTTCAACAGTTAAAATACTCATGTCTCTTAAGAACATGATAAATGACATTCTCCACTTAAAATAGATTATAACATGATCACCAATAATTTTCCGGGTACCAAGAATAACAAGTAACATGCCCTAATGTTCTCAAGGCAATAAGCCCGTTGGATCCAATGAACCAAGAGTCATCATCGGGGTGGCAACCCAAGCCTTTTCTCTAAGATGATTCGATTGAAGGTCACCTAGCCTAGCCTAGGTCTTTTCCTTACAACCATTGAGCACTAGAGTCATCACGGCCCAACCCAGATTTGTTCCCTAGTGGCTAGAGTCACCACACACAGTGGAATAATTTCCCGGGACTTTTATATACAGATGGTAGTTCACCATGATAAACATAAGACCATAAAAAATAGTTTACAGTATGCCAAGTTTACACATGTTTCAGAAATAATTTAACTCCATTGATACTATAATAATTTATCAAAACAGTTTAGTTCTGAAACAACAATTTAATTTTCCAACAGTTCAAGGCAGGAGAACATTTATAAAAATATGTAGCATGCAACTACTCACCTGAAAATGAAATAATATAATCCTCAAATAGAGTACGAAAGTCCAACTACCCTGAACCAAGTATGAAAACTACATGTTACTACTAATTTAAAAATACTAAAGAGAATAATAAACTAAGCACCCCACACTAAAGCGCACTAACACAACTGAACCCCACTCACCGTTGCTCTTAAATAATACCTAAGTTCATGTTTTTCAATGTCTAAAGTTACCTAAGACATGGGTTCAAATCGAAACTTAATTAGAAGTAACTTTAAGATCAAACAGAATTTTAAACAAGTTTTCCCAACCCATTCGCTAACTTTGAAAATTAAAAACCCACTCCACATTGTTCGAAAAATTCCAAAAACCTCCAAATATCAACTAATATATCCTAAGTTTCAAACTCAATTGGTTTCACTTGATTTTCTTATCAAAATAATTATTTACAATTAATTATATCCAAACTGGTTGTTTTCTGCAGCATTTTAAAGAAATTAATGGTTCTCTTAGTATACAAGAGAAATCAATACAAGGCCAAAAATATAAGAAACTAGACTTGTAACAGGTTCTAATGGCGCTGATTTCATAATTTTTGGATTTATACCCAAAGAGAACGAGACTTCCGAAGTTACTGTTTCGTACTAGTTTTTTGGACAGATTTGAACACATCAGTTTACATGGATTTTGACTCCAAAAAATTATGAGAAAATTCTGGTATGAGTTTCAACATGTAATTAAGCTACTGTAAAAATTTCAGTTCAAAATTCATCCATTCGATATGATTCTTGATTTTTAAAGTTTATGTTTGTATAGAATTTTTGGACAAAGAATTACACCCATTCTTTACACGTGAATTTAGCTCCCCAAATTTCTTAACAGTATATATATATATAAGACATACAACTACAACCTCTGCATTAATGAATTAAATAGTAAAGGAATACGGACAAAGAATAAATGAAGAAGAGAAGAAAACCTACGAGAGTTATCCTTTGATGATTACATACAGCACAACACACCCAAATCCTTCCTTAGTTGCAACCTTTTATTTCTCTTCTCTCTCTCACAGCTGCTACTGGGAAATTGTTAGAAAAGTTAGGGTTTTTCTTTTCTATTCTTTGTTGTACATAATATAAAAGACTCTAAATAATTATCCTTTGTTTTATTTTATTATATTTTCTTTCATTATTAATTTAAATAAAATACAACTATTATCAGATCAAAATAAACTTACTAACTTGCCCCCTTCTTTTTATTTAATAATAAATCTTACCTCTAAATTAAAGACTTTCACCATAAATTTATTTTAGGTTTAAAATTAATTAAAAGATCATTCAGTAATATTTAATTTGCACCTTAGGATTCACAAGTATAATATTTAC